CACTCACTCACTCACTCACTCGCATCACGAAAGCAGCATGCAATGGCATGGCATACAGTGTCTGGGGGTCGAAATAGGTTCTTTCAGAGGGAGCCTGGGGCAAGACGAGGCATACTATGGGAGGAGATCTACTCACTAACTCGCATATCTGCTTGTACTTGGTAGGTTAGTCGACTTACTTGCGTGTACTCCGCTCACTAGATTGGCTTTTCCATACTGGATGGTAACAAGATACCTTCACACTAGTGCTCACCTCGCTGGCGGATTCTTCAAAAATCTTCCCTCGGGCTTTCCTTGGCCTCTGCTTGCCCCTCGAGTTGCCTCGGCCAAATGCCAGGATGTTTGCATGTGCACAAGGGTTCTGAACCTAGCCACACCTAGAAGACGACCTTAAGAACGGCTTGGCTTGGCAGGCGTTGGGAGATGTCGGAGACAGCTGAGTCCAACATGTTCGACAGCGACGCCTTCCTTGAGGTGGGGCGGCAGGATAGGGAACATCTCCCTTTTGGAAGCTCGAGTCTCCTTCGGTCTGGAGGCAATGCAGCAGAACGAAGCCAGGCTACAGCAGGTCCATCAGGACTGGCCAGTATGATTCATCGCATGTTTTGTGCAGTGCAAACTTGGATAAATCCAGCTAGGGCATCGTTGATGTGATGCACAGCCGCGGCAAGCAAGTCCCGGCCGCTGCCCTGACCTGCCTATGATGGCCCCTCTGACCCAGCTGGAAGACACACGAGACACGAGGTGGATCCTGCATCTCCGTTTGCACAGACAATCGATTTCAAGAGCCTGGGACTCAGCCCAAGGTCATGAGCAAACCCTAAGTTACGACCCAAAACCCCTGAACCCAACACCGGGAACCTCGTGCTGGGGCATGAGCTTCTCATAGTTTCCTGTCCTCTTGTACCAAGGCAGTTTAGGATGCACGTTCCACGGAGATGACGACGATGCTTCTCCGATCCTTGACTTCGCCACTGGCTCAGATGCTCGAACTTCGAACAGATGCTCCTTTCTGCAGCGGCTGCGCAGTGATTGACTTGCCAGAGGAGCGCCTCCTGGAGCGATGCGAGAAAATGCAGGCGCAGATTCAGTGCAAAGATGACGCAAGGAGAGAAGCCGCCCGCTGCGCCTTGCAGGCTGAGCTTGAGCGCTGGGGCGACCTGCATGGCACACCAAGAGGCCGCATCAAATCGGCTGGAGTGGCACAATTTCCCTCGCTTAGTCAGGAGTCTAGCCGGGTGACATCCGATCTGAGGCATCCATACGCATCCGCGCGTAGTGCGATCTTGCACTTGTACATTTCTAGTTTCGGGAGGCGCATGGGCAAAGACGAACAGTTTTCAAAGGCGAAGCTGGTTAATCCCAGCGGCTCCCAGACCCTGTGATGCGTGCTGGAATTCACGCTTGCGCACGCGCGCGGGAGAGAAGTTAAAAACAATATATTTTCTCTGCCTCATCTGACTTCAAAGGGCAGGAAAGGGGGTTTTGCTCTCCCATGCTCCTCCCTTCTGACTTCTCTGAGGCTTCGACTGGGGCCTCGGAGCCGTAGCCCTGTACGCATCGGACTACGTCTCCGTGCGGTGGACAGGCCATCAGCAAACCCATCAGCAAAGCCTACAAGAAGCTTGAGCTTAGGCAAGCCAACAATGCTTCCTTTTTGCGTAAAGTTCCGCTTTGAGGCTTCGTGCTTCCAATGTACTCCGAAGACTATACCTTCTATGTGAAAGCCGATGACTCCGCAAGGCCACCCTTATTCTCTTTGCCGTTTATTCTGGAGATGCTTACCATCCCCGGCCATCCCCGTTGCAGGTTGTGGGTCAACGGCCGCCTGCTCTTTGACAAGTGGGATGAGTGCTGTCAGGACCCACGCAGCAGCTCAGTGCAGGTTGGCAGCTTTTCCCTTTCCAGGAGTTCTGGGGCCACATCGGGCTCACAGCCGGTGAGCTAGCATCCATCCGCCTAGAGTTCAGGGAGGTGTGCGTCTTAAATCAGAATGAGAGAGACTCCTGAGCTCCCTGAGCTTCCTCGACTGCTAGGTGGCAGGCAACGCCACGCTAAGCATGGAGTGGGCGTCGTTTTCCACTCCCAGAGGCGATGGCCATGGCTATCCAGAAAAGCGAGTTGGAACTGATGCAAAACCTTTGTCTTTGCGCAAGAGCTTCTCAGATGAGTAATCTTGTTCGGCGCAGCGCGACTTCCGCATCACAGAGCTGCATCTTGCCGCAAAGCCTCTGCGCGTGATAGGCTTCATCAGCCCGGGTCAACTCTTCAAAGGGCCGATCATCAACGGAGCGCCTGTCCTCCTCGAGGTGACTTTTCTGAGCCAACAGATAGCAGTTGGCCGACTGGGCACTTGCAGGTGGCCACGGGCACCGTGAACGCGCAGAACTCGGAGGCTTTCGGCGAGTACCTCACGGGGGCCCGCTGCCTGGAGCCGGGCTCCGAGTGGCTGAAAGAGGCAAACCAAGTTCTGGGAGAAAGTCTGCTTCTTAAAAAGGTTAGTTTTAAAAGTGTAAGCAAAGGTCCCGGGCCTTCTACATCCAGGCGAAAGACACCGAGCCTTGGCAAGGATGAGTTCGAAAAAGAAAACCCTTTGTTTGTGTTCTTCTGTTCTGTCGCTTGCACCGCTCCAGGCGGATAACCTGCTGAAGAGCAATCAGGAGGTCTTTCAGGCTCCACTTCTCTTTGCCTCGTAGGACTCTGTAGCTGCGCAGCTGTCAGGTGACCTTCAATGGCCCAGTGACCTTCACCGTGGTCTCCGCACCGGTTGGCAGCTGAGCAAATGAAGCTTTTCTGCAGCCTGAGCAGGGAAAGCAGAGCTGCAGAGGTGAATCCAGATGCTATGGACGGTCTCTACAAAGTCGAGTCCGAACCTTGCGATCAAGCACACAAAGCCCCAAGAAAAGCCGATTTGAAATGGTCAGGTACCTTGTGAATGTGGCCGGCAACTACCAGGTCTCTGTAGCTCTGAATGGAATGCCAATCAAGGACAGCACAGGGCAGGCAGACTCATCGCTGGAACTGCAGCTCCTTTGGCGAGGATAGCCCCTTTCAGTTTGTTGCTCGCTGGCTCCCTAGTGGAGTTCAGTCATTACACTCCAAAACACGCTTGCAGACATGTGCACGACATGCACCACCTAAGGGCCGGGGCGGGTGGCCTCTGAGTGGTCAACCGTTTCCGGATTGGTGTTGGCCTCAACTCCTGTTGCCTTAAACGCCGCAGTAAATTAGATCAGACAGGCACTTGATGTTAATACATTGCGTGACTCCAAAGTTGGCCTTATCCCATTGCCGGTAAAGGGCAGGTTCCTTGGTCTTTTGGAAGGCATGAGCCCGCAGGTAGAACTTCCCGCAGGTAGAACTTGGGTGAGTGCCGTATGATGTCTCCCACTTGCCTGGCGCGTATCTCCTGCCTGGAGACGAGAGTCAGGAATCCAACTTGAATCTGAAAAACGTGCTTTGCCGTGGTTCTCGTGCAGTCCTCTAACGCAGCATTCAACAGCATCCCAGGGAAACTATCACAACACGCCTGTGGTAGCACTCTGCTTTGAGTGAGTGCATGTAGCAGACCAAAAAGTTCATCCAAATGCAAGCTGCAGCAAAATTGGATGAGTGCAGCAGTTGTTTGCCACTGCAGGGCAGTGTCGAGTTCATCGCGGGGACGGAGGCAGAGTTCGTGGTGCAAGCGAAGGACGCCTACGGCAATGCACTGGATGAGGAGGCCCAAACCTAAAGCTGGCAACCCGCTCAAAAAAAGAAGAGAAAGTGAACAAGTTTTGTTTGTAGCTGAGCAGCCTCTGATCAGGTTGGTGAAGTGACCGCCTCCATAGAGTGGGAGATGTATGATTCTGTCACAGTGCCTCGGCTAGTACTTGGCTGCGCAACTGCACTCTGTCATCCCATTGCTGAGACTATGACTGTCCTGGATGATGAGCCACTCAACAACGCCGAATTCGGGCGGTCATGGCCTCAGAGCACTAGGACTACACTGACGGGTGCACTTCAAACCTAGAGGAGCACATTGCACCTTAGGTACTTCTATGGGAGAGCTACCTACATCGGATTTGGCCAGCCAGACTCCCAGATCAGCTACAGCGAGAATCTGATGGGCAAGTGTGTTGCTGTAGGACTAGGTACTTCGTTTGTCGTCTATGAACGTGCCTGATAGTTGACATAATATGCTCATGGCTTTTGGGGATATCTCCAACTGCATATGTGCCTGGCCAAAGGTACGACATCAAGTACACGGCCCTCCGAGAAGGAACCCACAAGCTCTTTGTCAAGGCATTGTCCTCTTAGAGTTGCACTACCAGCCTGTCATGTAGGGTCGATTAGGTCTCTTGGGAGGCTAGTCATAGGTTTAGCCTTCAAAAACATCACAGCCTGCATGGTCCATGGTATTTGCAACTTCGGATGGGTGTTTGCAACTCTTGCAGATCAACGGCGGCAACGTCTACCAGTCGCCCTTCACCCTGAAGGGCTACCCCGCCGCCGCGCCCTACGGACCTTGCCCATGAGACGAGCCTCCTCTACCTTGCTATCCTCAAGCCCTCAAAATCTCAAGAAGGGAGGGTTGCTCTGTTATTGTAGTGTTCTGTGTTCTTTCGCGCAGGACCCAAGAGTTTGGCCGAGAGCTCACAGCCTCCAGCCTCGGCCAGGGGCCTGGAACAGGGCTCGTCTGTTGACTAAAAGAAGGAGCTCACCCTGCAACGTATTTGCCATTTGCCCACTGGTCACATCCGTTTTCGATCCTGGGAAATGAGGAGCGAACACAAACAGCGCAAAATCGCGGGGCAAGATTGTCCGTAGATCTTGGCTTCTGGGTCAGTCCAAGCTTTGCGGCAGCGCCAATCACTATTGGGCGGCAGTATGGCTCTGAGGGGCAGTAGGAATTATGAACGAAGGAAGCAATGCCCGAATGAAACGAACTGGTCAGGAAGGGAGTTAATGCGGCAGGAAGGGAGCGGGAAGGGAGCGGGAAGGGAGGGAGCAGGGAGGGAGGCCAGTAGCGCCAAGCTTGCATTTCCCAGTAGACCTCAAGCCGGTATCTGTAAGAGCGTGTTCATATTATGATGTCATCTGCGGCGAACACGTTTCTCCACAAATGAAGGAGGAGGAAGAAGAACAATGAGTAGCAATGAGATGCTGGGCATTGCCACAACCGGATCCAGTCCCACTGATGCAGGAGGCCATGCTTCAAGTAGGGTCGCTCCGAACGACCGCATGGAAGACTTTTTTTTCTCGTTAGCTGCCAGCAGGCACTCGTTCCATGAGAGCCTTTGAACAGCCTGCTTTTTACTGACAGTTGTGCTAGATTTGCCCATCAACGTTTGTAGTTGGCTTGTTGATATGATGATGGTTGTTTGGAATCCCTGCCTAGTTGGGACAGTACTATGTTACAAGTCTTTCTGAGGCATGGAGAGGACTTGAGGCCGCCTGAAGATGCCCCGCTAAGTTCTCCTGGCCCCTTTGAAAGCCTTGCGAATTGCATCGCTGTGGGGGGCTTTTGACTCGGCCGTGGCGACAGTTCAGGGTGCGTTCACTCGTGATGAAGCAGAATAGCAAAGAGATACAAAGGAGGAGAGTGAAGCAAGGATAGGAGGAAAGAGATGGAAGAAGAAGGAGAAGCAAAGAGGGAACAGAATAATGTGAGAGCAGAGCAAGCCTTCTTGGAGCATTTCCCGGCAGCCCCGGCAGCTTAGGGTGTGGCGGGTGATGAGATCGCCTTCCATGTGCAGCTTCGCGATGCCTACGGCAACATCCTGCCGGGCCCCTCAAGTTTCATCTACCAGCCCAAATCACTCACCATACCATAATATTGCGTAGCTATGGCATAGCTTTGCCAAAAGGGCCTCCAGCCCCGCCGGGGCCATCTCCGTGCGGGTGAGCTCGACACCGCCCGTCAGCCAGGCAGGTAAGGAAAGAATTTGCGGAACTCCGAATGGCACCTTTCAACAAAGCCTTCTGCAAACCAGGTCGACGATGGCGTCGTGCGCTCAGCCTACAGTGCCAAATTCAGAAAAAAAAGGAGCATCTGGGTCCACAAACAGCATCTCAAGCGAGCAAGTCCCGTGCCGCTTTCGTTTCACAGGTCTGTACGCCGACCACCGGGGGCAGCACGGGTTTGTACGAGTGTCGGATTACTCCCACAGTTAGCGGCAACCGTCTTCTGCTGGGAGCTGAGAGGCTTTCAAAAATGCAAGTGTTTACCTTTGAATCCTCCAGCACGTTAAAGCATGTTCAAGCGAAATGGTGAGGTCGGTTCAGGTTGATGGCGTAGAGATTTCCAAGTTAGAGACAGTGCAGCCGCTGTCGCCTTGCCTGCATGTACAACACAGCCTGAACTCTGGCTGAAGCGCGTGGCCAAATGACATTTCGCCTCATCTTGCCAGGCAGCTGACCGTCACCCAGGGACCCTTTGCCTTGTTCATTGAGCCAGCAGCAGCCATGATCTCAGCCTGCAGCTAGACGCCCGCTGGTGAGAATTGTAGCGCACCAGGTCTCGCCTGCGAACACGGCCGTCTACAACATAGAGTCAAGTCAGCTGCTCAAGGGCGAGAGACGGGCAGTTTTCAGCGCAAGACTGCATGTGGTTTGCTGCTCATGCTCCAATCTGTTAAACAGCCTTCTAGATTCTAGGTGTTAGGAAGTCTGCTACTCGCACTGAACCTCGCTCAGCTCCTTTGCGCCCAGGTTACCTGGCTGGCGTCACTGTGGATGCACTGGTCCAGCTGCGGGACCGCTTTGGCAACAATCGCACCAGCAGCTCATCTACTCTCCTTTTTCAGGCCGCTAGAGGACCAGTAGCGTATTTGCTTCACTTCTTGGTTACCAAGCCGTTGACAGGGGCGTTTTGGGCCGAGCATACTTGCCTACACCGACCACAATGATGGGTGTGGAGCTCATATCATCTCATCTGTGTTCTGGATTCCAAGGGGCACGTCTCTGCACCAGCCCACCAGCCTGGAATGCTTGCAGCTAAGGACGGTGACCGTCAAGGTGGGCACACATCTGGCTGCGGCCTTAATGATGGCTGCTTAAAAATTCAATTCACGGGTTGCTTTCGTATTGGCGAGGCCGGCCAACACCCTCTTCAAATCACCTTGCAGGGAAGCTAAGTTGGCGTCAGTGCTGGAAAGGAAAGGCATTCCGAAGTTTCTTTTGCTCCTGCTTTCTGCTCCGAGGGCTGGAGTACAGATCTCCAACACGCCAACACCAGAGATTGATGTGCCTGTCTCAGTGGCTTCCAGCCTCAACGCTGCCTCGTCACTCTGCGCACAGGTCCTCAGCTCGATCGCACGCTTCGATGGCACTGAATGTGCTATCCCTGCCCAAATCATTGCTGGGATTCAGCACCCGTGCGGGTCTCACTTCGTCCACCGCTCACACTTAAGACAGTCTGAAGGCTGCCTCAACTTACCTAGCACTATCAATGGCGAAATCCGATCTTGCGACTAACAATTCTGCTTTCTCTACTGCCGAGATGCCTAGGAGCAGTTTCAGAGCTCAAGTTATCCGGGACAGCCTCTCTCCCATGCGGTTTTGTCACCAAGAGCACGAGCTACCGGCGGCAATGCTTCTGTATTCTCAAGGTGTTTGCACATGCGACCCAGCATGTTTTCTTTTCACAAGCGGAGCTAGAATTCTTTGGCAGTAGTAGCATTCAAGCTTTGGAGAGCTGCGAATCATTCGGTATATCACGGCATGAAGCCGGGGGAGGTTGAACGTTAGTTTTTCCACAGGAGACTGATTGATTTGAAGGGGGCGTGGGGGGGCGGGGTCGAAGGTGATTAATTCGCAGTTGGGGGGGAGGCGCAATGTGATACTCTCATGTTTGGTCGCAGGTAACATCATGCTTGTTGGCTTCGTGGCGCCTCTCCTCTCCCTTGGTCATGTCCGCTATGCTGCCACCAGAAACATCATTGGAGCGCCGACTGCAGTTGCATCAAGTCTCCTTGCTGTCGCTAGTCCTTAAGTGGGGTGTACCCTTGTTTGTCATTGTACCGAAATCAATGCCTGATTGTCGCATCAGGCTTCCCTCCTCTTGCAGTGTTGACTACCCGCGTGTGGTCGCGGTACAAGCAAAACCATACTTTCTGATTGCATCAAGCCACTACCCTTGTGTAGTTCTGGCACGAAGAACATTCTGCCTGGTGGTGGTATGAAACTTCCCGACTTTGTCTATTGTGTTCACTACCCTTGCAAGATCAAGATCCGAACAGCGTAATCAAGCATCCTTCTTTCTTCCGTACTGTTCACTACCTTGCAAGTGCATTGTGCGTGTAGCAGCATGCTGGGTGCTTTCATCGGACCTCCCTACTCACTCGCAGCGTTTACCACCCTGGTATGAACGGCACCTACTCGGTAGTTGCGTCGACCTTCCCTACTGGCCTCTGTAGCGTTCGCTGCCCTTGCATAGTCACGGTCCGGGTAGCATCCTGCTTGCGGTTGGATTACACCTCCCTAGCCCCTCTGTGGTGTTATGCACCATTGCAAAACATGAATCAAATCGCATCTTCTTGACGGTTACGTCAAACCTTTCGACTCTGTCCGCAATTGTCGCTCCCGTTGCAAAAGTCCTTGTGGGGGAACCGCAAGAATGAATATGGGAGGGGAAGTGCTCATGAATTCATATGTTCTCTCCCCTGCGTGGTGCTTAGTGCGTTGCGTATTCATTTTGCGCATATCCTTACGCTTGGTTGTTGCATCAGACCTCCTTACTCTTTCTGTGGTGTTGCGTATGCTTGCGGGGTCATGATAAGAAGATTATCATGGTTGTTGCATCAAACTGCCCTGGCATGCTGCTAGTGACGTCTTTTCAGGTGATCGCTTCTAACCTTCCTACTCTCCAGTCGTGTTCATTCGGCTTATGTCAAACCTCTGTACTTGCAAGGTAGTGTAACATACCCGGGCAATGGCATGATACGAACAACAGCATGTTTCATCAAGCCTCCCTGCGCCCCTTTGGTGTCGACATCCCCGGCAAAGTCATGATACAAATAAATCATTGTGGTCGTTGCAAACCTCCCTACCTCTTCTGTCAAGATTGACTACTCCTCTAGTGTTCACTACCCGTGCAGGTCAGTGAAGTGGAAAGGAGGTGGCGAGTGGAGCGGAGAGTGGTAAGTGGAAATTGGAGTGCAAAGTGTAGGGAGAGTGGAGAGAGTGGACTGAAGTAGAGCAAAGAGTGGAGCAGAGGAGAGCGAGTGGATTGGAAAGTGCTGTGGAGAGATGGGATCGGAAGAGTGGACTGGAGAGTTGGGTGTGGAAAGTGGAGAGTGGAGTGTAGTGGACTGGAAAGAGCACTGGGGCGTGGAGTGTCGAGTGGAGTGAAGTAGAGAGGGGGTCTGGCAACTGGAGAGTTGAGTTGAGCGGGCTGGAAGGTTGATTGGTAAGTGGAGTGGAGAGTGTAGTGGAAACTCGGAGTTGAAAGTAGAGTGTAAAGTGGGGTGGAAAATCAATCGGAAAGCAAAATGGAGAGAAGAGTGGGAGGTGGAATGGAGCGTGGTTGGAGAGTGGAATGGAACGCGGAGCTGAAAGTTGAGGGAAAATGCAGTGGAGTTGGCGAGGCTTTGGGAGGAGTTTTTGAGGCTCCTTGAGGAGGTTTGTACTTCTTGCTGGCATCACCTTCCCGCCCCCCTTGTACTGAAGTGCTGAAGCCTTAGCCTCCGCTCGCCCCTCAAGTTTTCAGCATTTCAGCCGCTAAATGATTTGTTAGGAGCGGCAGAGACAAAGCAGCATGAGCAGCCAAACGGGGGCTGATGCAAGCGACGCATGGCCAGCGAAGTCGAGCTTTTTCCACTGGGATGACATCTCTCCCAGGCGCAATTCAATTTCAAACTCGTATGATACTGCCACCACCGCCAGCACATGAAATCACTTCAAGTCCGCAGCAAGCATTGGAGATCAGTCCGAACAGGGCCAAGCAGACTCTCCCTTTCTTCCACTGAACTCAGGCATGACACTTTGAAGCAAAGTCAGCACTGATCCTGAGGATTTTCTCGAGGGAGCTTGGCTTCTGGCAGATCAGAATAGCATCTGTTCTTTCTCTGGTTTTGCTTCTTCCATCGTTCAGCCTGGGCTCGCCACCAGAGTCAGCTGGGTTCATGCTGGGAGGAGGCAACCCTCAACAAATTTGCTACCTGGAATCTTAAAGCGCAAAAGAAAGGCCTGGTTGAGTATTCTGGACATGCCTTGAAATCACTGCAAAACGTGTCAGATGCTAATCCAAAAAAAGCCGGAACGGGTGGCTGCCCCAAGGTTTCAGTGCATTCCTCGGGACACCTTCGGGAACAAGGTTGTGGACAACAACCTCTTCATTCAGGCCAGGAGCCTCTCCTTTGCAGAGATATCTTCGTTTGGGAGAATATGCTGGCACTCAGGCAGAGTTCGTCAACATGGACGACTCCTCTGCACCTGCCTGACCCTTGACCTCCAGCAGAGTCAGATGCTTCACTGCACGGTGTCTCCAGATACCCCTGCAAGGTAGTGACAGTGGATGGCACATACAGCTTGGTGGATGATAACTACGACTTCCCCTTGGAGGACCGGAGCAGCTAGAGTCCGGGGCCAGCCTTCATGCGTTGCATTGCGCTGAGCTCAGATCAAAAAAGTCGGTGCCTACTCCGTGGTGACACAGCTGAAGTCTCAGAGGCTTTAGTCAAAAGAGTTGGTGCAGCCCGCGAACCCCGCCTCTCCCAGGCTTTGGGCCAGAGGTGGTCTGATTGGGCGCTACTACCGGACACCAGGCATTATGTTTGTGCTACGCATCCCTGCAAGATTTTCACCAACCCTGCTGTCTCTGCAGGCTTCCAGAGCTTGGTGTCACTTCTGACAGACCGCCCGCACCAGGGTTTGGCACTCTTCGAATACACACGAGCCGCATGTCTCAGGGTAGAGGTATGGGGTGCGTTTTGTGAATGGAAAAGAAACTGGAGACTGCTAGTTAATGGTTGTTATAGATATTATTGGTATTATCTGATTACTACTCCTCTTCTTATTGCCTCGCAGTACCTGCAGTGCTCACAGCATTTGCGGGTGAGGTCGATCCTCAGCTGGACATCATTTGGCCAGAGAGCCCGGTGGCTACGTGCCCGGAGGATTATTTTTCAGTGCATTGGCACGGCTACCTCCTGCTGGATTCTCAGAGCAAGGCCAACGGCCGATGAGATGCTGTGTAGCCTGTGTAGCTATCACTTACGCCTTCTTGCTGCGCTGAGTGCCGGGGTCATCCTTTCTTGATAAAGCGTTGGTTGCCAATACACGTACTGCCAGCAGAACCTGTGTGCAAAGACGCGAGATGGGTGGAGCAAGGACAAGAAATAGGAAGTTTGCAATGGCTTGGAACCTCCAGCTGATGTCCCGGCATGTTGCCGGAGGTGTCCGTTCTTCTGGTTCCAAGATCAACTTTCTCGT